CTGTATTTTCTACCACCACCACTACCCTTCTTCTTCTACTTCTCCTCTTCTCTATCTTCTCTACCCTGACTGTGCAGGAGTTATCATACCGGCTATAAAACAATACGGCCCTGTTACCAAGAGAACGAGCATATTGTGGTTATTGTTAAGCTTAAACCCAGACGTGGCTACTAGGGGATGTTCAGTTCTTCTCTATGGTTTCCGAATCGTACTGTGCACTTTACTTATGCTTTACAGTTTGTACAGTGGTGGATACTGCCTCTACGTGAAAGACAGTGACTTGGTTAATTTTTAATAAATTTCGAAAGAAAAAATATCATGTAAAAGAAATTGGATTTATTCTAGGAAACAGTCTGTGGAGGTGTAATAATAATAATAACGACGAGGTATAATTAGAAGGGCCTTTCGGACCGTTAAGGTTTTAAGGGAAAACATAACAGGGTTATTGCAGTAACAGCTATTCATTTTTTCCCATGAGATCCTCAGGGACTTCCTTTGTAATATTTCTCAAGGGTTGGTAACCCCTACAGGGCCGAATCGCCAGAACGATATTTCCATTGAATATCGCAAATGATATTTTGTACACTTTTTTTTACCCCCTTATACCAAAACCTGCCTACGAGGGGGTTGATTCTCCTACGCAAAATCGAATGTCTACCTTATACCACCTTTGGTATAATTTTTTTCCATCCCTCTCTCCTCAGCCTCTTCCCTTTTCTTTCCTCCCTTTTCTTCGACTCCCTTCGGCTTTCTCTATGTCGACGTCGTACAGCGACTCGGTTCAACCTATTTCAGAGTCTCCCTGAGGTTCTGCTACGACGGGGTGTCTCGCGATTTATGCAAAATGGTACGTAACTCCCTAGGGAGCTTCTCAGCCAACCAGCCAGCCACCCTTCTATCTAACACGTGTGCAGCGCAATGCTATATCCGCGCACGGCATACCAGCCCCCCTTTCCGAAAGGGGGTTGGAACATTCTGATATACTGCCAACAAGCGCCTAACTTCGGTGCTGATCTTCACGCTATTCAAAAGTTACAGGAATTTCTTGTATACAGGTTACGATAAGGCTTAACGAGTCAACCGGTAGATACCGTAAAATTCCTACCCCTTTAAGCGTATAAGCAGCCCTTATTTCCTATGCCTCTTAGCGCTTTCGGGGATGAAATATCACGTGACTTCATCGAGCATCAGGTTCGGGGTCGTCCACAATATCCCTCGGCACTCTCTGCCAGTAGTAAATAGATACTTAGAATATGAAAGATAGCGTCGACGGATGATTGAGAGGCCGTGGATCATTTAATTTAATTACCTCGTGGGGTTAATAGAAGAGATAAAAGTGGCTACAGTCGAGACGGATATTACGCGTGGCTCGAGCGCTCCCCTACAGGACGTTTAAAAAACTATTATACTCTGTTACATACGTAGAAAATTAATTGTGGGGTAATTATAATGATCCGACTATATATATACTAAATCTACATGTAAAAAAAAGTATTGAATAATATATATATGTATTTAAAATTTCTCTATACTTTGGACTATAACGCTCAGTGGAAAATTAATTTTGAGACACCCTTTAAGTAACTCCTCCTCGTCCGCTCCCGCCCCCTTCTGAAGAAATTTAAGGGGAGAGAGTGTGTCGCACGTTTCGGTCGTCGAGACCGATTTAATTTCATAAACCGCAACTGTTACCACTATTCAGTTAGAAACGAGGCAGAACTAACAGTTATGATCCGCCGTTTCTCCAACGGCCCCCCTTTGGTACCCCAAGAAATTAAATTATACAGTTCACCCGGAATGGGCCTTGTTCGTTGATACTAGTCTGTACTTAATTTCGAAAAATTACTCTACGTTTATTAAGATTCAGTCACATACGTAATCAGTGCCCAAGTACCGATAGCAAGATACCATACGTGTCTGGTACCAGGCCCAAAATAAGGCACCAGGCTGTTTCTCTTTCGGGTAATTTTGATGGGCGGCCATATTAACTATATTCCGATGATATGGGGGTCCTGCAGAGGCATGGATGTCTCCGGCATTGTATGCAGATGAAGAAGGCAGGGCGACAATGACTGGGACGTCGCCACGGGCCTACGGGCCCCTGCTGTTCGTCCTGACCAAGCTCGTGGCGTGGTGTCCCGTAACCTGGTACCATTCCTGGTACCTCCCCCGGACAATCATGTATATGGTTTCACTTAGCCCGTAGGTACTACGCATCCATATATTAACATGTCATCAGACATAACCGAATGATCGACAGGAGGGCCTCACCGACTCGATTTCTCACTGCGTCATCGGGGCCTGATTTTTTATTCTCGTTCATCCTTTTTTTTTTTGTTAATACTCACCCTCTCTCTCTCCTGTCTACTAACGAGCCAAAGCTACCGTTAGCTGCTACCATTTCTACCATTCCGTATCAGTTCTATGGTCTCTACCGTCAGTGAGGTCGAATCTCATATGCGTGCTACGTATATATATACGCATACGTATCTAATATAAATCCTGGTTCCAGGAGATATCATAGAGGAAATCTTTTGCGAAAAACCTTGGCGATTCTTCGAGGAAGGATGAAGAAAGTCGAGTTGGGACCCCGACGCGTTGGTCGATATGACTCTAGGGGTTGTTTGGCGTATGTATATGGATACTGGGTTATGCGTATATATATATATATATATGTATATATATAATACTTTGATTATATATATATTCTATGTGTGTATATATATACATATAGAGTACAGATAGATATGTGATGTGGTGTAGAAAGCTGGATTGGTAAACCGGTCACGTAGTGCTCGGCGATGAATGGACCCGCCGAGTCGAGCCCAGAGCCGGGAATTGGCTACTGGGCATACCACGACCACCTACCCCACTGCGTCAGCTTTAGCCACCCCACGTTAGGTGGAATTATACAGAGGTGCTCAAATCTACCCTTGATACTAATAGATATTCCGTGAGACACTGGACTTCGGTTTGCTTGCGTGAACGTAGGGGGTGAATATGGTGAAATAATTGTTTTTGCTATTTTCTTCAAATTTTTGTTGGGGGATGATTATGGAAATTTTAAATAATTTAGATATCGAAGGTATACGAATTTCTGAGATAACGGGATGAATATGCAGTTGACTGAAAGTTTGAATTTCTTTTAAGAGCAAATTTTCTTTTTAATCGATTTGTAAAATTTTTGAGAAACTTTAAAATCTCATAGTTAAACCAGCTTTTGGATATCCTTGCAAATGGCTGATGGTGATTTCACGAATTCCCTGTAATTCACTCAGTGTGATTTCGACCTTAACCACAGTCGTTGTCACCCCGGAGTTTCCTCGACAGTCACTGACTCCCCCTCACAGCCCTGTGTGAGGGGTACCAGACAAGAGCAGGGGTACAGGGAGGGAGGTGGTTCGGAGATGTAACGGGTCTCAAGCCCAGTACCCCTTTACGCAATCTAAAGCAAGCCTCTGATCTGCCATAAAGTCATTTCATAACCCATCCCGAGGGTTAACTACCCCCTGAGTCCCAAATCCCGAGTTAAGTGTGAGTCGACCAGTCCTGGCTCCCATGACACCCCTCACCCCATACTGACGACCTCCACAACCCCATCAGGAATAGGTCGATGGATCTTATGACACAATTTCGAAAATCGTCGCCCTTGATACGAGAATAGGGATGAAAATACATGCTATACGCAACCAAGAGAAAACCCCAGTAAAACTGTCTCTTACCTCTTTCCTAGATGGTTACCATTTCCATTCCCTTCATCTTATTTTTCTTACCCTCGCGGAAGATTGAAGAACTTTTGCCTCCCTGTAAAATGAGGAATGGCCAGTGCCGCGGGCGTCCTTCGTCAAGGCTGGAGGGAAGGATTGGTCGAGGAGAATAAGTTTTCAAGAAATAATAATAACAATCCTAGGAACCAGTCCATAAACTATATCTATAGCCATGCAGTGACTCTAGGCATAAAAAGAAATTAAAGGGTGAAGTAACTGCAGTAGAAGAAAACAGGGTGACACTTGCGCTGGAATTAAAAGAGAGAGACGAAGAATAAGAGAGTGAGAGAAATAGAAGAAGAAGAAAAAAAACACTGTTACGTCGAGCGTATATAAATCAAACACGTTGCGAACGGGTGTGGCGACTGCTAGGGCGTCGGCGTCGGTTTAACTCTTCGTAGACGTCGGACCGAGGGTCACAAAAAAAAACCCTTTCGTTAATTACAGATAGCAGATGCTGAATATTGCTGAAATTTTTTTTTTGTTCACCCTGTTGCTATTCATTCAAAACGCGTTCCTTTTTATTGCCAAGTTGCCAGCTATTTTTTTTCCCATTTCTAGATCCCCCGTACACCGACGTCGCGACGCTTAGACGTAACTACTACCCCCTCACGGTGAGAGTCAAGAAGCGCCTTCTGTTTCGCATCGTTTCGACTTTCTTTACGGTCGCGCGATTTTACGCCAGTCAAATGGCTGGACTGTTATACCGTAGTGCTAGCGCCATTTGTATCTCCCATTAAATGCCAATAAATTCCAATTCGTAAAACGAGACACTTTGGGTCACACTCTTGAATTTCATCAATTCCCTATTTCTTTCGTTGTCGTTTTCCACGTCGAGTTTTAATATCAATAATTAAAATAATTGAAAAATCTATATCGATCCAATAATCCTTTTCCCGTCTAGATTCTTCGATAGTATTTTTTTACAGTAATTGGATAGTTATTCATTTTACTTTTCTTTTTAGATCCACCTGCGCCCAGCTAAACGCCTTTGCACTCTGTACCGTCGTACCACTGTAAGCACTCTGCGGTATTAATTAACTGAAAACAATTGTAATTTATAGCTCGGTAGTTGTTAGCTGCATTAGTTTAATTGACAGTTAATAAATGTTTGGTATCGATGATAAAATACGTATCCATTTAATTATCAATCTAGCCAACATTTTTTTCTTCTCTTAGATATTATCTACAAGGATAAACGATAATTATAATAATAAAAATAATGAATAAAAATTATTTACATAAAATAGTGTATTTTTATTGATTACGTATCACTTCACTACAACGATTAACACTGATAAAACTTCACCACGATATTAATTCATGTATGTATATAACTAAGTGTCTTCCACTGTCCTTTAACTCGATCGCCGTTAAGGTCGATCCGCAGCATCCAAGTAGACATCCCAAGAACGAAAATAGTATCCAGTGGATTCTGAAAAAGAAAAAGATAAGAAATAATAATAATGGTACCAAAAACTTTGCGAGAAATGATATATATCGATAAATCAATAATTTCGCAACCCCACAAATTTGCTCCCAAAACGCTTTCCCATATCATCCCCATAAGTATCGCTTGAATAATATCGCCGAAGAGTGTCTTCCCCCATAAGACGATGGGGTCCCGGGTTTCGTCTCGCAGAGTTCGAAGATATCTTTAAAGCGAGATCTCCACTGGGTTCTTGGAGGAGAGGATTATTAATTGGCTACACGATAAAACAGTGTTAGTCCCCATCGGCTGTCCGCCTGGAACCCCCATGGTTCAGTTAAGATATGGGGCCACGCGACTGCGTCCTACGTTCCCGGAGTGAGTGCGTGTACGCACTCGCGGTATGCACCGTTATACCAGAACATCAGTACAAGATGGGTCGAGGGTGGAGGAGGCTGAGGAGATAAGAGAAGAGTCATTATGCGTGCGTGAAGATGCGCAAGTACGTATGGGTAGCCATGAGAAAAAAAATGAGAAGAAAGAAAGACAAATTTCTCTTAGACGGAAATCCCGTCGATACACGTGCACGTATGGGAAACCATAGCCTTGTCTTTATGGTGTAGCCGGTGTACTAGTCCGTGTGGTGGTTTCACTTTTTAACGAAGCTTATTTATTGGACACGCGTACAACGTTGAAGTTGACACGCAGGTACTGCCCTATGAGAAATTATTATGGTGAATGACAAAGGGGACTTATTTGGTTTTTAATGAATTTTCACGAAGATTTTGTCTCCGTAAAATTTTATTTATCATGATTAAAAACGTTTAAGAGTGATTTGTTATTATGGGAATTATTTAATTTGCTATACGGTTTTTCTTTATGGGCTTCTTTTTCGCGTGGATTAATATATGGTACTGGGTATATATGAGGTATATGTGTTTTGTACGGTATGGCGCTCGGATAGAGGATGAGAAGCTTAAATCAGGGAATAACTCGATATAGGGCCCACACGGTCCCTATGCTCTCCTCTTGGCGGTCCTTTACTTACTGGGCCTTACGCCGTGTCGATGGCGTATCTTGTAATGTTTCGCCTTTTTTTCTTCCATCCCACGGGAGTGAGTATGAACGCTATAGGCCATAAGGGCTAACAAGGCGATTACTCATGCCTCCCATAAGAAGAAGTTACAAGAGGGTTCGAAGGTTTATTGCGGCAAATGGTGAAATTTGTACCTCGCTAACGATCGACGCCATTTCTTTTTTAAATTTCCACATACTCCTATCCCATTCCCTTGGTAATCCCCATAATAACACATAAGAAATTTATATACCAGTTGAATCGTATATATCAGAAAAAAACTTGCGCACTGTCGATAACAATAAATTTCATAAGGAATAATAATAATAAATTATTCAAAAAATCAACCCATATTAAGCTTGTACGATAATACAGCATAGTTTACCATCCCACCCATACGACTGGGCCGATGTCAAAGATGAGGCAACCCATTAGGCCCAACCGGGTAAGATATCCAAGGATAATCAGTAATCGAGCAGGAAACTGTAATTTCGCAAAGTGCTTAGGTCCGTTTTTATCCTGGGGTCAAATTTGCGAGACGTCGGGGCCTTACGGTAGACGCGAGACGTAAGGCGAGGGTCCCATTGGCTTGTGCGGCTCTATACGTGAAGATATACGTATCGGCCGAACCGCCTCGGCCGGGGCCGTAGTGGGCCGCAGATACTGAGGAGGCCGCAGAGAGAAGCTCTAATTAGATTTTAAGTGAGAAATTGAGCCTGCCGGCAATTTTAAGGAAGCTGAACGCCGCCCTGATTAATATCATTATACGCTCCGCTTCTTCGTTCACTCCGGCGCTATGCAACCACCGAGCGAATCCGCATCTCCTCTGCATATATGTTGTACATACGTATACTCATACGTGAACTAAGGATTACGGGTACGGAACACGTTTCATATGCCTTAGGTATACATATATCCATAGTATCCATACACCTATGTATGTATACATAAGGCCCAAGAAACCATGTAAAGAGACCGACCCTGATGTGAGTAATCTGTACGTGCGAGATGGTAACCGCTCACGGGAGCCGTCGGCCATTATCCGTGCTAATTTTTCGTCGATTATAACCATTATCACGGAAAAACGCCTTACAGATCATTGGCATTGTGATGCTGTTTTTACGGGCCGTATACTTGTATATATATAATATATGGACCATATAGTCACTCTCCTGTATTGTCCTCAAGCGTTTTGTACTGGATACCATTTACTACTTTTTTTCTTACATCATTTTTTAGCTGCCTAAAGGTCCTATACGCAGATCACGCGAAATTTATATCTGTTCTTCAAATGGGAAAACAAGATAAATAAAACTTTTATAATTTTCGCACGGGCATTTGAAATATTTTTTTTATTTGACGGATAGTTACGTCATTTTCTTGAAAGGGAGATAGGAATTAGCTTGAACGCGGTATAGATGGATTACAGGTATATTACGTGTGTATTCTATAGCTTCGTTTAGTATACCTGAGAAAAATCATTGAATCACGTAGAGAATCTGAACAACCGTTTTTCCTGACCCTTGATTAGTTTAATAACTGTTTAATGTCCGGTACTGATGACATTTCTTGTCGTGAACTAATGATTTTAATCGTTCACCTTTAACGACTCCTCCGACAAGCGATATCTATACCAAGACAGATAGTAGACACACTGGTGATCAATAGATTTTACAGCCTGCCCGATACCTTTACTGACAATATAATCATTCGAAGAAATAAAAAAAATTTTAAAAAAGATTTGCCAGTGTACCACGTGGACATTAATAGCGGCAAATTCAAACGTGATTAAAAAGCAAAATAATTAACAAAAGAAATTAAAGAATATAATAAATATATGCACACGAGATTTAATAGAATCCAGCTGAAGTTTTCTCCCAGCATCCCTTCACGAGTAAAATCTCATCTCAAACCTATCTGGCAACCTCTTCTTCCTTCGGGATGCTCAATAGTATTTGAAATGACCTCCGGTGTCCAGTTTGACAAGGCTGACTATACAAAACACTGACCGTTGGTCGCTGACGAGTTCACAGCACACGTTATATGTCATATAAGATATATATATATATATATATATATATATATATATATATATATATATATATAATATGTACAGATATACCAGTCAGCATCCCTTCCCCTCCTACTAACAGGATAACCAACCCCCATTTCTAGCAAGGTACTTTCTCGTTTGACGTTCCTCTTCTTTCCCATCTGTCCCCACGCTTCTCTGTATCCCGCGTACTTACACGCTGCTGGGAAACCGAAGGGCAACGGCTAGTCTGGACCGTTTGAAGAAGCTGCAACGTCGGACAAACTCGATCCCGAAACAGGATTCCTTTAGAGTTTCGCGGAGAGAAGTCCCACTGGTGACGATGGTCAATCGATTGAGCATACCTGAAGGAGACGTGAAAGAAAGGTCTGGACCAAAGTGGATGTTCGATCGAAAGACATCGAACGAAGAAGACCAGTGATAAAATAAGATGAGCCTGATGCATATTTGTAAGAAAATAAAGAAAAAGTCTAATGAAATAATAATACAAATAATGAAAATGTATGAAAAAATATGAGGTCCTCTGTAGATAAATTATTCGATGAAACCTCGTGTGGGTCCCCTATGGTATATAAGAGCGTAGAGTTTCTCCCTACGGGGGGGAATAATTAAAGAATCCTAAAACTGTACAGCGAAGTATCATAGAATCATAGAACTCATAATTGGACTGTACCGGATGATGAGGTACCTGGTTTACGCACTTCTGGTCCCCAGGCATGCAGCGTGCTTATGCTACTTGCCAGTGTGAAATCCAGTACTCGGTGAACAGTAACCAGTAACCAGTGAACACAGATCCCACCTCCTGAAGTCCCGAAGGCTAGAACTCCTAGGGAATCAGGCAAAACCGGTCCAGTCGGATCGAGAGCACCCGCTGGCCTGCCATCGTGAAACTATCTCTACCTGGTCTTCTCTTCTCTTTCCAGTATGCAACCTGTCCGATCATCTCATCTCTCTCTCCTGTACGTTTTCTATTTTTTTTTCTATTTTTTTCTCATGGTATCATCTCGTCTTCCCACTGAATCCACGTAAAACTAGCCTGACCATCCTTTCGGGGACTGGAAATTCCACCTGGCCAAACGGTCCAGATGGATGCTGCGAAATTTTTACCGACTCTATCAGGTAACATTGCAGTGTAATGAAAAAATAGTTGAATGATTGAAGAATATCGCGTAATAATTAAACGAATATTTATCTTTTCCTCCAGTAACCTTCTGGACCCATTCTGATGTTAGCCAACGACGATAAATCGAATGGCGAGCGGATGTCCGTGTGTCAATGATGACGTGAGGCTCTGTGGAATGACTCTCTCATGGGGTCACGTCGATGACATATCGCTGTGGGATGACGAGGCGGTGCCCTTTTTTTATCCAAGGCGGAACCAGTAGCTACGACACTCCCGGACTCTGATTCCTAGACGTATTATGCAATTATGAATTGCGATGACAAGATCGATCTGTCATTATTAGATCATACTCTTCGGGGAGGGTTAGGTTCACCCCTAATACCAAAGGGCAATTTTGCACCACGGTTAAACCTACATGGATACGATCCAAGGGCGTGAGAGAATAACAAAAAAAAAAGGAAAGTATCCACAGAAAAATTTAACTGAATTTCCCCAAAGGACCTTCCTGCCTAAACGATCCTATTGGTCCCAGCATCCATTTTGCAGCTTCCAAGAATGATTTCGGTCGTACGGATGAAGATGGTGAAATTCCAGGATCATAGGTAACGCATAACCAGGGCAGGCTGGTTTCTCTCAGAAAACCATCCTAAAGGGAACCGTGCTCGACTACGAAGTCGAAGGATTATATCCCCCTGTGGAGTTCACCTTCATTCTGGGTCCTACCCCCACTCGCCTCATCTTCCCCATCACCATCT